AAGTGTTGAATCCTGAGTGAGACTAATTGTTGTTATAGCAGGTCGCATTGGGCATTTTGCTTGATGAGTTTTTATTAAATTAGAATATCACACTATAAGAATATAAGTACATTGTACTTTCATTAATTAGTAGTTCCAATAAATAAAGACAAGATTGCTTAAAAAAAAAAAAATTTATAAATTAATTTAAATATAAATTATAAAATATATTATACTTGTTCCAACAATTTAAGCCAATTTATCTACTGTTGGATAATATTTTTCAAGCTTGGTTTTAGCAGCTTGTACTGCTTTTTTAATAGTTAAAATTTTACTTTTTTTGATAAATTTTTCTAACTTATCAAGTAAAAAACTATAAATTGGAACTATCATTCCAATTGCTAAATATTTACTACCACTAACATATTTTGTAGCAGTTTCAAAACACTAAATTTAAATATAATATATATATAAATAATAAATTATAATTAAAATTAATTTAAATTTTAAATTATATATATCTTCATTAAACTTTTAATTTCTTTAAATTGTTTCCAATTATCTTTATATAATTCATATTTTTTTATTTCTTTATCAATGGATATTATAATATTAATTGGCTAAAAATATTTAATATTATTAATATAATAAATAATATATTATATAAAGTATTATATTATAAATATTATTTAATAAATATTTATCTCCTTTAAATCAAGAGCTCTTTTAATCATATAATAGGTAGAATTCTATCTAGTTTTTACATCCATAATTAATTCAACTTTATTTGGATTATATTTCATAAATTTTTCTTTTCTTTGAGGTGTTAAATGAGCAAATAAAATAATTTTTTGAAGCTATTTTTTATAAAAAAATATCAAATTTTATTTGAATATTAACAATAAATATTAATTTATTTACCTTTTTAATTGCAGTCATTGAATCAATATTATTATCTTGTTTTGATAAATTTTCTTCTTGATTTGGACTTTCAGTTTTAAGATTTTTTAAAATATCTTGAGCAGCAAGATTAATAATATGTCCAAGACATCAAATTCTATAATTATTTTCATCAAATTCTACTTCTTGTTCTTGACATAAATCAGTAAAATATTTAAACATTGTATCATTATTAGAGGCATTATCAGTTGTAATTGCTAATACCTATATAATATAATAAATAAAAATTTATTAATAAATTAAAAAAATAGGTGT